TTGGAAGAAAGTTAGTAAATAAAGTTTGAGACTAGAATTGACTTCTCATCAACTTAATTAAGAAGTATGAAGTGTTTTGAACATGTTGGAAATTTGGTAGGATTCTTAAATTCAAGATATAAGAGGAGATTTTGAAGATAAAGATGTATTAGATGAATAGAAATTGGTTTGAGTATGAGTACTTGAGTTAATAGTATAAAAAGGAATAAGACATGAAGGATTTAAGCTGATATGAGTTAATTTTCGGGTTTAAAAAAGTGAAATATGGGTTATGAGTAAAAGAGTGATATTTGGTATAGAGGTATCGATACTGGTTAAACAGTATCGATACCATAAGCTTGAATTTGACAAAGACATTCATGGGGTGTCGATACTTGGGAAGGTAGTATCAATACCAAGGGTACCGATACCATTAGGTCAGTATCGATACCATTTTTGAAATGAGGATTACATAATGCAAAATGGGTATCGATATCCATGCTTGGTATCGATACCACAACTAGGGAAGTATTGGTATCATACTTTGGGCACCGATACTACTTCAAGTAGAAATGGAATTAAGCCTTTCTTTAGTTTGAATTATTAAGGATCGAATTATGGTATTTAGAATGCTGATATGAGTATCCAATGTATATTTATGTAGATATCGATCGAAAACAAAGTTCTGACAAGTCGCTAAAGTAGGAATGTCCGAGAGAGCTATCAGAGATTGATATTGTCTAGTGAGACCAAGGTAAGTACATGATATTAAGTATAAGTTATGTTAGGGAATTAAAACTTGCGATGAGTCTAATTCCAATATTAGATTATATGAGTACCGAATACAAGCATGTAGTGATATGATACTTATGTGTACCTGAGTATATGCATATGTCTGTTAGGTGCATATCCATATGTGATCTATGTGAATGCATGAATGTATAATAAATATGTGAATATGATTCAAGGGTGATAATAAATTATATGATCATAAGAGATAAGATATATGATAAAAGATATGTGAAAGGGATATATGTGATTACATGTCTATATGAATACAAGAAAATGTGACATGACATATATGTGATATGAGATTCTATGAGAATGTTACATGATATATATGATATGAAAGTATGAACTTATATGACTATGTGATATGAATATGCATATGTGACAAACATAAAAGATAATGCCCATGTTATTTGTTATAAGAGCTAGGGGTATAGTTGGCAAGCCAAGAGTCGAGGGTTCTACGTGGTCATTCGATACATATATGTAATCCTTTGGAACATATATTCGGTAATTTGGTACACCTATTTGGTCCATTGGAATATGTATGTGGGCCTTAAGGAGTGGTCCTTCGGGACATATGTGTTATATGTGGTCATTCGGGACATCTATGTGGTCCTTCGGGACATTTCTATGTGGTCCTCCGGGACAAATCCTATGTGCCCCTAGTGAGAATTATACGAGTTGTGGTGACAATATTAGTGCACAACCTCTATATACTCACATACCTTAAGTTCTCAAATGTATACATGGGTTTTAAATAAAGAATAAATAAATAAGCCTAGTATGATGTTATATGTGTTTCTTTTTCAAAATAATATATGTGTTTTATGATATGTATATATATATATATATATATATATATATATATATATATAAATGATAAGTACAAGATCATATGATAAAAGGAATGAATGATAATAATGATATGTGTGCATATAAGTTTTGTGTTACATGAAACGTACATGCATTTGTTAAGTAGTTATAGTTTTCATTATTTATTTACATGTCTCACTAAGTCTATGACTTAGCGTGTGAGTGTTTCACACGTAGGATCCGAGAAGTTCCGCAAAGAAGATAAGCAGAGGAGACATCATAATTTCTGCAAAGATCATATCAGAAGAATTAACAGTAGGTTTCCTTGTTGTGTTATAGTGTTGGCATGTATTTAAAGAACTAAATAGTAGAAGCTCTGAACCGTTTTGTAAACTTTTTTCAATAATATATGTAAATTATTTCGTATGTTTAAATTATATATGAATTTTCCTCTATTTTTATATAAGAAATGGTTTGAAAGGTTGATGTGACATCTCAGACTCGTATTCGGGTCGAATACGGGTTGAGGGTGTTACACTAGTGAGGTCCCCAAACATTCTTTAAAGTCTTATGTAAATACAAGGATCATAAATAAGGCTTTATACCATGCTTATAACATCAAATGAACAATCTACCATGGAAATTGCTAAGCATGCTTTAAACTTAACATTATATGCTAAAAACTAGGATTCTTTATTTAAACTTAATCAAAAACTCAAAAATAATGATACATAAAAAAACCATCATCAATATTAAAAAAACATCTACACTAACATAAAAATTATATAATAATAATAAGTTGTTAAATTGAATTAAATAATATTAATAAAATAATTAAAATCATACTCCATTATTTTCATTAAGTTGTGATTATTTTCCCTAGAGTTGAAAAATAAAAAATTGGACCAACAACGAGCAAAATCATAACGGTAAGCAGAATTTTTATTCATAAATATATTGGGAATTGCTTTGATCCAAGTGAATTTCCTCTTCTTTTTAAATTAAAACAGAGAGAAATAATAAATAAAAATAATGAATTAAATATAATACTACTAGGGATGGACATGAGATCCGACCTGAAGAATTTCGATCCAATCGGGTTCGATTTTCTTAAAAAAATTTAAGTTCGAATCGGGTCTGGTCGGATATTTTACAGGTTATGCTTTGGTTGAGTTGAGCTTGGGTTTAGGGTGAAAAATATCTGACTCGACCTGAACTGACCTAAAAAATTTTAATTTTACCTTATATATTTATGGATAATTGTAATAATACCCCTATGTATATTATTTTTTGGGTAACTACACATTTAGTACCTAAACTATCAGTTTTGGTTCGTTTTAGCATCTAAACTTTTCATTTTTTCAAAATTGTACATAAACATTTAGTTTTTGTTTCATTTTAGTACGCTACTGTTAAAAACTTAACGGGTTTAGTACCCAAATTATCAATTTTGGTCCGTTTTAGTACCTAAACTTTCATTTTTTTTTCAAAACTTAACATTAAATTTTGAACAGTTGCACTAAAATGAAACAAAAACTAAACTTTAAGTATGATTTTGAAAAAAATTTGAAAGTTTATGTACTAAAATGGATCAAAACTGATAGTTTAACTACTAAACACATAATTTGCCCTATTTATCAATTAAATCTCTATTTTTATTGAATAAAAGTAATATTTTTAATAAATATATCATTTTGAGTTGGGTCGGGTTGAGTTTGGATTTTATCTAAAAAATGTGGGTTGAGTTCGAATTGGGTGAAATGTGTATATTTTTCGGGTCAGATTTTGATCAAGTGGATTATATATAATTTTTCGGTCGGATTGACCGAAAACTCGACCCAATCCGACCCATACGCATCCCTAAATATGATAAATCGAATGTGATTTATATTTAGTTCTTGAATGTATTAAAAATTTTAATGTACTTATTTTTATGATTTTTTAACAAAATTTACAGTTTTGAAGTAGATATAATCTACTAACAAAATAGATAGAAATAATTTGATAAAATATATATAATTTAAAGACAAATGACTCATTAGGTCATGAAATTATTAATATAAAGATAAAATTATTGAATTATTAGATACATTTTTTCACTGAACAGTTTACAAAACGAATGCTTAAAACCAACGCGTTTTGTAGTTTACAAAAACGATAAGGTAGACGCTTGAGATTCTTTGATTGTGATCCTCAGTGGACACATGTATGTTAATAACGTTTTTATCTCTTATTCTCTTGAAAATATAAATTTATATTAGTAGTTAAAAAAATCGTTATTGTTTTTAATGATTATGAGTTCGAGCATCAGCGACTATAATAAAACGTTTGAGTATTAATTGTCAAATAATTGAGAGTATTTAAAACATATACTACTTTCTGATCACCTTTCATTACTATTAATAAAGGTAATAATATGCAAATAAATGAAATTGAATTGAATACATTATTTTTTAAGTAAAAATATGCTAAATATAAAAATATTATTAATGGGGTATTTAAAACAATAAATTAAAATTTTTACATTTAATACTATATTAAAATTGTTTTTATTCTTTATTTTATTACTTATTTAGTTTCAATATATTAAAAATGTCAAGATCACATAATTTTATTAAATTAAAGAGGTATTAATTAATTGATAAATTAATAATTTATTAACTTTTAAAAAAATGGATGTCACTTATTGAATTATTCGGATGAAAATGATACATGTTCAGATGTTCAAAGTTTAAAAGAAATTTTAGCTAATATTATTAAAAATCATATTGAGGATGAAATTAAAGATGATACAGTGTTTTTGCAACCAATTACGCAAAAATAATCAGCGACAATAACTCTTCACAATTTTTGTTACAATATGAGAATGTTACAACAGGACTTTTGGATGTAGTAAGAAAAGTTAGAGATAAAATACAACTAGATTTAAATCTTAAGAAAAACAAACAATAATAAAATCATATTTTACTAAGTTGTCCTAGTTGTATTTGTAATTTTATAGAATTATTAATTTATAATATTGAAGGGACCATAAACTTATATAAATGTCTTCCCAAGTATTTTTTTTATCTCAAAATCATACTTAATGTTAGATTTTGATTTCATTTTTGGTGATCCACCGTTGAAATATAACTATTGATATCTTTTTTATTTTTTAATAATGACATGGCATTAGTTTATTATGACATGTTAGAATCATTATTATTATTTTAATAACATAGGATCAAAATAAAATAAAAAATTAAACGCTATCTATGATTTTAAAAAATAGTTCGATGTCTAAATCAGAGCAAAAGTAATAATAAGGGCCACTAAACGTGTAGTTTACCCTTTAAGTTTTTTTTTAATATGTCAAAACCCAGCCCAAGGCCTAAACCTTCTATATAAACCTCCTTTCCTCTCTCTCCTTCTTTTACCCGACTGCCGCTTCCTCAATTTCTCATATTCTGTGTGTTTACTTCTTTTATCTTTTAAAATTCTACAATGGCGAAAACTTTAGCTTGCTTTGTTCTCTTAGCTCTCATCGTAAGCTGCGCTCTCGGGCAGGCTCCAAGCTCCGCCCCAACCAAGTCACCGCGGTCTTCTTCTCCGACTCCAGCTCCCAAGGTTTCCCCAACCACGTCTCCCACCGCTACACCAACTGCTTCGCCGCCGTCAACAGCCACCACTCCTTCTTCAGCACCAGAATCTTCTCCAGCTTCCTCTCCCCCGGCTCCTCCTATGTCTCCGGCTGGCTCTCCCACCGTCGGTGCTTCTCCCACCGGCGCTCTCACTCCATCCTCCATCAGCGGGTCACCTGGGACATCTCCAACTTCAACTCCGAATGCCGCCGCTTTGAATAGAGCCACCATCGCTGGATCCGCCGTTACTGCTGTTTTTGCAGCTGTCGCTTTTTTCGCTTAGATCTGATATTTGCGGATTGTAGGATTTGATTTGATTTGATCGATTTTTTTTTTTACTTTAGGCCCATTGTTGAAATCTCGTATTGAGTTGTGGTAGCGTATTTCTTATGTTTTATTTAATTTTATTTTGACGGGTTTGATTTTATATGTGGATAGCCTGGTGCTATTTGACCGTTGAGATTTGATAATAGTTTGTCATTGTTAGTTATTATAATTAATTAAATGTATTTCTGTATCAAATAAAGTCGGATTTTGAATAGATTAATGGAGTGGAAGAAATAAAAGACGAAAGCGAGTGATGAACGTTGTGAGTGTGTGGAAAGTGGAGAGCAGGGGTACTTTATTGTCTTTTATGCTACCCATTTTTGCAGGACAGGACAGCTGTTTAAACGTTGTACGTTTTTTAAGGGTTTTCTCGTCTTTTGCTAGGTCGGGCAGGTTGGGTCTGGGCGGGGAGACAACAAGTGTCACGTAGTAACAGTTGTTATGGGACAACATGTTTCGCTTATATTCAAAATGAGGGATTAATTTTTTATTAAATTAAATGATTATAAAATAATATTTATTTTAAATAATTAATAATGAATACAATAATAAATGTTTGAACTTTTAATTTTTAGAAATAATAATAATTCTTTTAACGATAGAGGTAATTTAGTATATACAATTAGGGATTACCCTAATTTTTAAATCTAAGTCTAGTTTTTTAATTTTATATTATATATATATATATATATACATCACATAGGGTTATAGAATAGAATATATAATCAATATCATGAATATTTATAATTAAATTTAAATAGAAATTTAAACAATTCAATTTGGATTTTATATATTCGATTTAACTCAAAAAAATTTCAAATAAAATTTAAATTGTAAATTAAGACTCATTAACTCAAATAGCTTGATTTTTTTGTCTCGACTCGATTGAATACTCCCTTTCTATTTTCAACCTAATTAAGTTTCTTATTTTTTTTTCTCAATCAATTTGAGTTGAATTAAATTCAAGCCAAACTCTAGTAATCTCAATCAAATTGAGTCAAATCAAATTTGAGTTAAACTCTAATAATCTCTACATTGACATAAATTCTAAAAGTATAAAGAGTTTGGAAAAAAAATTCAAATTCGATAAAATATTCAAACTTAACAAAAAATAAATTATTCACCTTAAAAATCAATTCTTTAACGATGAGGATCAACTACATCCAAGTCTTGCTAAATTTGAGTTTAATGTTCACATCAAAAGAATCATTAGGCTTAAATGCACCATTTCCCTCCGAATATGTCATTTATACCGAGTTGTTTATTAAAGTATTTTTCGAACGTTTTGTCTCTTAAAGTTTAAATTATTACCTCATTTGTCTCAAATTGTTAACTTTATTAAAAACATTGAGGATAAATTACATGGTCACTCAATTATTCCTACAATTCCGTTTGGTTACCCAACTTTTTCCTTTCAAAATCGTCACTTAACCTATATGATTTCTTCACATGCTTCCACTTTCTTGTATCTTCTTCTTCAAAGCAAATCCATGCATTCATGTTTGTTCCAAAGCTTTCTTCGATTAGGCTTTCACCCCCTAAAATGCAACCCAATATATTATCTCAAGAATTGAAGACTAGATATGGTTTCATCAACACGATCCCAACCGGAAAAAAAATTAACGAGACACCATTGTTTCAGGCTAACTCGTTTGTCAATGTTGATAGAGTATAAATGGATTAACTCGTTGCTCTGTTTGGCAAACAATTAATCCATCTATGAACTTTAAGTTGAGCAGATTATTTATGAGATGTTTTAATACCAGTGTAAGTCAATGTTGATAATTTAGTAAATGAAATGACTTTCATCGATGTAAGTTAGTATTATTAGTTAAATCGGTTAAAACTAAATAATGCTCACCCTTACTAATGTATTTGATGTGAAATCAATGTTTACTAATGCTTACTAGAGATGAATTCATCAATATGATCCCAACCGGAAAAAAGGTTAATGAGACATCATTGTTTCAGGCAAACTCATTTATTTCAATGGCTACCTTATAATTTTATGTTATATTAGAGGTGGCAAGTAGAGATGATAAAAACGTCAGAGAACAATGAGATAAGTGGAACACCTTACTCCTTAACTCCATCAATATGGTGTCAATTCTCACTACAACAACCATGTCTAATGTTGTTACTGCAACTAGAGAAGATGGTGCCGGTGCTAGGTTTTCTCTTTTGGTTTTGAAGTTGACATTCACTGTTATGTTCTTATCAACCACTGAGATGTTAGTATTGATGAACAAGATTCAACCCAACTTTGCACTTCCAGCAAAATTTACCATCGATGTATAGCGAGAAAAATGTCATAATCACTAAAATGAGAACAATTTGAAATCCAACTAATCTCGTTAACGAAGAAGATCAATGGTTGATGAAGACACTAAAAGAGCTTTGATGAAACATTTCAATACCTTGAAGAACAATTATGATATTCACAAGTGAAAGAAAAAAAAGTTGGGTGAGCAGAACGAAACTGTAGGAATAGTTGAGTGACTAAGAGGTTTTTTGTTTGGCTCTGAATGAAATCATTCAGCGCTGAATGTTGAACCGTTCAGCATTCAGACTGTTTGTTTCTCACCTCTGAATGATTCAGTGTTGACTGATTCAGCAAAACAGTGGTGCTGAATGATTCAGCAAAACAGTGGTGCTGAATGATTCAGCATTTAAACATTCAGCGCTTAATCATTCTGAAGTAAACAAACAATCCCTAAGTATATAATTTACACTTGGTATTTTTAACGGACTTAACGATTTGGGATAAGCGAGGTAACTACCTAAACTTTAAGGAACAAAACGTCTCGAAAAACACTTTAAGAGGCAACTCGATACAAATAACATACGTTCGGGAAAATGATGCATTTAAGAGAAATCATTATAAGTGTCAATTTTACTATCACTACGGGTAGTATCATGCCATTAGTGTTTCGTGGCATGGGCCCAATGTCCATCAGTGTTTGAGGCCATTGGATAAACCGCGGTGCCTGTTTTGTTGTCATTTTCCAACACTTTAAATCCATAGTATGACCACTAGGATAATGGAGCACCCGAGAGGGCAACTAAACTCCAATGGAGACTTGCCATCCTCAATGGTACACCATTAAGCAAAATCCACACTTTCCTTACACGATTGGAACCCTTGGCATGAATCTTGAACTCGATTATATTCGGATTCAGAAGTGAACACCATATATTAAATATCCGAATATGTTCTCGACATTGATATTTCGAGGAAAAAATATAGCAATTGTTAATATGAGCATGGAAAGGATTAGAGTTGAGCCGAAGAACACTCAATTTACTCCCAAGTGTCACCAAAATAACACAAGAGAGCTCAAATGGCTGAAACATTCATTTACATATGTTGCTTACCTACGGAGTAACAAACAACCACCTCTTTGCTCCGAGTATAATCAAATTCAACTTCATTCTACGGCTTCTTGTTCCGAATTGAGGTTCAACTCAGCCGATTTATCATCGGATTGTGAACTGTCGTCCGATTGAACTTTCACGAATTGTCGACTACGTTGCACTCGAATCGTTCTTCCCATAAACATCTGCAATCACAAACTATCAGTTTCTTGACTAAAGAAAACAAAGAAATAAACAATCGAGAAATTTACTAAGGAAGTACCTTCCCTTGGAAAGCAGACAGTGCAGCATCAGCTTCTTTCTTGGATTTGAAAGATACAAAGCCATAGCCAGATGACTTTCTCGGATTATCATGAAATATAACTTCAGCAGAAACAACGTTAGCGCCCTCAGAACTGAAGAACTCTTTAAGATGTTTAGTCCTCACTTCATACGAAAGATTCGCCACAAACAAATTGAATGCCGGCACTGGCTTCGGTTTATCAGGTGGAGGAGCTTTCTTCTGCTTAGGTTTAGCATAATTGAGCCTTAAAGTACGACCCTCGAATTCCTATATCAGTTTTAAGGAAACAAATCGATTATCTTCCTTGTTAAATGATGTCAGAGCAAGGAATGGACGGAGAGGGTGCTGGAGGTGTGCGGTTTCACCCCTGGAAATTTCAAATTCTCAAGTAATTTAGGATTTATTTTGTATTTTCTATTGATGATCTATTTTATACCTCTGAAATTTTATAATTTCGCACCCTCTAAATTTCTAATATCTTCCGAACTTCGCGCCTCCGGGCATAAAATAGTGCGTTCCTTGTGTGTCATAGTATACTCTCAACCATTAATTAGTCAGGGTAAATTGCCTCATACACTGAATTCATCAAGGATTTGCTAACGAGTGCCTTAAGAGCACTTATTAAACTATTATCTTAACGAGTGCCTAAAAATTTAGAAGTTCCCTCTGACATAAAATCTTTACTTCATCCCAGAATTCCCGAGTAATATTAGAGAATAATCAAAGGCAATAAATATGCTTACATAGGACTCAAGATTATTGAGAGCCGCAAGAGCCTCCTCAGGCGAAGCCATGGAAACAAAAGCCAATCCCCTATTTCTGGTCTTGTTATGCATTGAAAGCTGGAAAACACACACATTCACATCAATACACGAACCACGAATCAAAACAAAAACAAAAAACAAGGCAAACCCGAGAGAGAGAGAAAAACCTCAACATCAACGACAGTGCCATATTTCTCGAACAAAGAACGAATGTCTTCGACGGTACAACTCCAAGGCACGTTCTGGGCAATCAATCTGGTTTTTGATAACTCTTCTTCTTCTTCTTCTTCTTTCACTTGTAAAGCAGGGTGTTGGGTAGTGGCAGAGAAATGGAGGACGAAACTGGTAAATGGTGTAGCTTTGAAGCGAAGAGTGGCGCTGAAGGGAGAGAACGGATGAAGAAAACAAGCGGAAGAGATGTTGGGGATGTGGGTTTTAGGTTTATGTTGCAGAGAAAAAAGAGAAGATTGGTGGGGAAGTGGGAGCAGAGCCATCGGGAAGATTAGTTCAGCTCCGGTTGGGGTTGAAACGATGACTTGGTTTGCTGAGGTTTTTGACAGGGAGAAGGCGAATGGATAAGGGTTAAGGAAACTATAAGAAAATGGGTAAAGTACACTAGAAATCCCTAAGCTATACCCAATGATTGTTTTTCCACTTAACTTTCAAATATTATAAAATGGCTATCAAATTGTTGGCTAAATCCAAAAAATAAGTGTCTGAACTATGCTGCGAAAAACGTTTTAGTACCTAATGAATTTTTCGCTAGAAATAGGTTACTAACATTTTCTCGGTTATACTTTTAGGTACCTATTGTTTATTTTTTAATTTTTTAATAATAAAATTATTATTTTTAATTAAAAAATAAAGAAAATAATAAAGGTTTAATTTATTTAAAAAACCCAAATTTTTACTAAAAATATTAAAATAACCCCTAAAAACTAAAATCTCTCATTTCAACCCCATTATCAACTATCGCCAGTCATCTCCGGCCACCATCGTCATTGCTGAACGATCACCCACCTGTCACCACCCACCCATTGATCAATCATCGTCCTTACCGTCACCCAAAATCCTTAAATTTAAAATCCCCAATATTTAAATCCCTAATTCTCAATTTTAATTTCTTAACCCAAACGATTCGTCGGCCATCTTCGGCCATCGTCGTCGTCGTCGAACGGTTGGGTTTTTATCGAAATTGTACGGTGGTTCGAATGGTGGCAGCGGTATCACTTATGGACGACAGAATCGACCATAATCGACAAAGATATATGATAGTGGATTAAAAACTAGCGAACATTTGAACGCTTCTTTACGACAAACGATGATATGTTACGACGAAAGGTTAATGAGGGTTTAATCGGGGGTTGACATCGGTGCCGATGATGGTGGTGGTGCTAGTCACCGTCCGTCGGTCGACCTACATAAAAAGGGGAAGGGGAAAGGAGAAGGGGAGAGGACATGAGGGGGTGGGTGAGTGCTTTTTTTTTACAATTTTTTTAATTTTTTAAAATATTCTCAAAATTACCAGAACGTGACACGTGTCTCTTAACAGAGATATTTAACGGCAGTTAACAAATGGGCACCTAAAAATATACCGTTGAAAACATTAGAAACCTATTTTTAGCAAAAAATTCTTTAGGTACTAAAACATTTTTCGAGGCATAATTGAGACACTTGTTTTTTTATTAAGCCTAGTTTTTTTTAAATTGTTATAAACTTTCATTTTAATATTTTCTTAATATTTTTAACAATAATTAAAAAAATCAGAAAAACTATTTTTAGAAAAAGATATGAAATTTTTCTTTATTTTACTCAATGTGTTTTTTAAATAATTTGGGATGTTTGTAAAATAGTATTTGTTCAGAAATCTTTTTAACATATTAACAACACACACCTTGCAGACACAATATTTTGAATTGAAATCCTCTAATAACATTTTCTTTTACAACTGAAGCTACTAAGGGCCAATTTGATATATCTTTTGAAAATTGACTTTTAAAAGTGTTGTATAATCGAACTTTTAAAAGTATTTTATTATACATTAATTATATCAATTTAAACTATAAAAATATAATTATAATAAAATTATATTTTATATAACTCATTATTAATATTTCAATATATAAATCATAAAATTTATTTATTTATAAATAAATAAAATAAATTATTTTTTAAGGATATTAGTATCAAATTATTAAAATAAAATGTAAACACATAATTGAGTGGAACCTACTTATTAGTAAGACTAAAATTATTAGTTGCTTCCAAAGGTAAAATTAAAAATGAAAAAAATTAGATATCTTAGCTTTTGCCACAGTTTTTATTGCAATTTTTTTTCTTTCAATTTTACCCGTTTAACATTGTTTTTATAGTCAAAATGAGACCTTTTTTTTTACTAAAAGTTCTTTTAGAAAACTTTATCAAATGGACCCACTAATTGTATCTTTTAATTATAAATTCAAATAAATTTTCCAACCCACTCATACCATTTTCAATTTTTAAAATATTTATTCTATTTTTAACTTATTATTTAATATATTTATATTTTATAAAATCAATTTTTTTATTATTTTATACATGGAATAATTTATATTTACGTAAATAATCGTTTGATTATAAAATATATATTTTAAATCTCTTAATTATGAAAAGTTATAAGATAACTACTTATCTTATAACTTTAAAGTGATTTTGAGTTAGGGTCATGCTGATCTCCTTATCCATTTTCCCTGCATAAGTAATCATTCGATTATGGTTTTCGACACTCCCTTTGAAAATTCTATCGTTCCTATGTTTCCATAGACCCAAAATAACGGTAGAGATTGGTTCCCTGGTAGACACCCTCAGTATTCTCCTTCCACGAGCAGCAGTTTTTTTTCATCCTGTCGTAACCGTCTTTCGGTTAGGCCTCGAAATTGAGTTTCGACTTGAAAAATGTAGATTGAGAGTCGCCACCGATCATTTATTTAAAATAAATGGGTTGATCGGATACCCTATTTCTTACCTGATCTGCGTCTTTCCAAAGATGTGTCGGGTTCGGGAGTCGGTTACGGTCAAGGAATGATTAACACCCTTGAACCGCCCTTTCGGTACTACGTAATTTCCAATTGTCTTTGATTAAGAAAATTGCAAGTTAAATTAAAAGATAAAATTTGATCCGAATTATTTAGTCTTAATGAGTTTACGAAAATACCCTTTAAAATAAGATGTTAAAAAAAATAATAATAATAAAAGAAAGTAACAAAACTAAATAGTAAACCAAATAAATAAATGAAACCAATAATAATAAACATAAAATAATTGGATGAAACAAATATAAAAAAAATGAAATTGAATAAAATAAAATAAATTAAGAAAAAAATATATATACAAAAAAGAATAAAAAATGTAAAGTGTTTTTTTTTAAAAAAGAAAAATAATAATAAGAGTAAAGAAACTAAAAATATAATGAAAATAAATAAATAGTATAAATAAAATAAAAATAAAAAATATATATAAAAATATAAAAATATATGTATAGTATAATAAAATACTAAATAGTAACAATAATAATAAATAAATGAAAAATAAATATACATACAATATTAACTAAAAAATAGCAATCATAGAAATATAAAATAAATGAAGTAATATATATATAACGTTAGGAAATATAGTAAAAAAATATAGTAAATAAGTAAACATAGATAAAAAAATAATAATAATATATATATATATATATAATAATAATAATAATAGGAAAATAATATAATATAACGCAAAGAAAAATGAAAAAAAAAATTATAATAAATAAATAAATAAAATAAATAAAATATATATATATACATATAAATAATAAGGGTTAAATTAAAATAAAAAATGAATTAGGGGTCAAAACTAAAAGCCAATCGAAGAAAAAAAACGATAAAACACGCGGATCCACACGACCCGTTTATAAAAATCTGAATAGTTTTTCAAAAACACAAGCCTCGGGGACTAGATCTACAAAAATAGATCTCGAAAACGCCCCCGTTCATCGGCCAAAAACACTTCTCTCAGTTTTTTTTCGAATCAAAACACAGCAAGGGTAAGGAAAAATAACATGCGAAGGTATGAACTTTACCTTTCAAAATATAAATGCTTCGAAAAATGGCTACGAGTTGCTTGTAATTTTTTGCTTGGTATGTCGTATATCCTTCTCCGAATGTGTTACAATAGTGAGCTACAATGACTATTTATAATGCTTGTGGATCCTATCTTTAAGAGTTTAAATAATAGTAGAACTCTATCCTATTTTTAGGAGTTTGAATCCTAGCAAAATTATATCCTATTTTTAGGAGTTTGAATCCTAGTATGACGAAAAGGTGTGTTGACAGCTGCCCCTCTTTACCCATAGTCGTGTAACGGGGATAGGGCAAAGATTAAAAGACACATTTTTCGTTCAGTGGAGTTGAAAATAGACTCTGATGTTTCAATAACTCCCTGTCGAATTGAGTTACGGATGACTCCTCCATCGTGAAGTCGAGTTCATCTTGAAATGATATGAAATTGAAGCCGTAGTTCGAAATTTGAATCAGCACGTGGCTTCCCGTTGCCCTTCGGTCTTCTTCTCGGTTTAAAGACCTTGGATCGGATTCGAACTCAAAAATCTTCATTGATGTATAGCTTTTTCTTGACTTAAACTATGCTGCTTGAAAATGGTTGCTTGTCACTCAGGCACGGCTAACCCAGGTCCTCTTCTCGACTTGAAAACCTCGGCTGCAACCGGAAAGTAGTGCGATTGATGTGTCATCGAGCTGAATGGAATCGAACTCGACAATTTTGATGGCAGATAACCCTTCTAGCCTTGAGTTATGCTGTAAATGATGTGCCTTGGAGCTGAGCGTAGTCGAACTCGAAGGTCTTTGTTGACAGATAATCCTTCTTTGAGTTGGATATCCCTCGTCGTGAAGTTGAAATCCAATCTAAAGATGGATGATGCTTGTGTGCACGATTCCCTTCGTCGTGAAGTTGAAACCGCGGGTGACCCCTTCGTCGTGAAGTTGAGCCTGTAATTGGATATCCTTCGTCGTGAAGTTGAAATCCAAGTAAGTAGCATTGTTCCGAGTCCAATATCCTCCGTCTTGAAGTTAAAATTGGCTCTGGAATCGGGAAATTGTTTCTTGACAACCAGTCGTCCCTTCGTTGTGAAGTTGAACTTGTGTTGTCTCGAGTCCAATATCCTTTGTTGTGAAGTTGAAATTGGCTCCGAAATTGGGAAATTGTTTGTTGACAACCAGCGGTCCCTTCGTCGTGAAGTTGAACTTGCATTGTCTCGAGTCCAATATCATTTGCTGTGAAGTTGAAATTAGCTCTGAAATTGGGAAGTTATTTGTTGACAACCAGCGGTCCCTTCGTCGTGAAGTTGAACTTGCGTTGTCTGGAGTCCAATATCCTTCGTTGTGAAGTTGAAATTGGCTCTGAAATTGAGAAGTTGTTTGTTGACAACCAGCGGTCTCTTCATCGTGAAGTTGAACTTGCGTTGTCTGGAGTCCAATATCCTTCGTTGTGAAGTTGAAATTGGCTCTGAAATTGAGAAGTTGGTTGTTGACAACCAGCGGTCCCTTCGTC